CGCGGGACCCAGCAGCCCCCAGCCCCGCGGAGAACTTTTCCTCCCCCCCCCAGCCCCGCGCCGGCGGCTCCCCTACCTCTGAACGCCGCCTTGGCGAGCCGGTCCCCCTTGCCCCGCAACTCGGTCACCGCCTTGAGGCGCACGAGCAGCGCCATGGTGCGCCCTGGCGAGCCTCTGCGCCGCCGGAGCGCAGCCTCCACGCCCGCCTCTCCTCCCCGGGCCGGCGCCGAGGAGCGCGGCTTAGGGGCTGGGAGCAGCCGCTCAATTATTCAGGAGCTCCCAGCGCCGCGCTCCGGGGCTTGGCCGTGCGCTCCTCTCCGGCGCCCCATCGCTCCAGCCAGCCCCCGGCGGGAGGGGGCCGCGCAGCCTTCCACGCTCTGCCAGGCAGCCGCTCCGCTGCTTCAGGGAGGGGCGCCTTTCCCGGACTCCTGGGTCCCTCCCTGGCCTTGGACTTCAGCTCCCTGCGCCTCCCGCTAGCCTGGGACTTGGGTCCCATTCCCTGCCCTGCCCCAGGTTCCCCGCGTCACCTTCGGGCGCCTGCAGGAGCCAGGCTAGGGGGGGTTGCAGCCGCACCCTAAAAATAGCACCTCTGAAGCCTGCTGGGCAATTCCCCATCCCCAGGAGGGGGCTCCTGGCACTGCCCTGCCTCAGGGGTGCGGGAGGATAAACACCTGAGCGCTTGTGACGTGCTTTGAGATCTCCGGATGAAAAGTTCTCTGCAAGAGCCAGGTATGGTTCGTACCCATTTCACAGAAGCCAGGGGAGGGAAGGCTGCGTGAGGCTCCCTGAGTGGACTGTCCGGGGTTGTGTGTTCAATAGGGGGAAGATGCTATTTCAATGGGAAGTCAGAACATACAGCTTTGCAGTTCATACCTCTCTGCTTTCCAATGCACAGACGTGAAGGGACCCTCAACATCCCGGTGACGGGACAAGGAATCGTCATTCATTGACAGAGGGGGAAACTGAGGCACGGAGCTGTTAAACGACTTTCCCAAAGACACACGGGGAATCGCTATCCAAGCCAGGAGTACTCTCCATTTCCCTGCCCATGCAATGGACCCAACCCAGGGGTGTCAGTCGGGTTAGAACCTGGAGCTTTCAACACGGCAGCCCAGATTTCTATCACTTGAGTTAAACAAGTGACCCCATTAGCAGGCTGCAGCAGTAGGCTGTTATCCTGTAGGCAACCAGCCAGTAAAAGGGGACAACACACACGCTGGCACCAGCCTGGATTACACCAGCCACAAGAGGGGCACATTCATCTCGTTTATAAACGCGTTATCTGAGCCATAGATCAAAATGGGATTTCGCCACCCTCCCCCATTGCCTTTTCCCCACAGCAGCTGGACCTGCATCAACACCCCAGCTCCAAGCCATCGCAAACGCTGGGGCAGTTTAATGTCAGAGCCAAACTCTCCGGTCCAGGCTGTTCTCTATGAGATGGGATCCCATCCCCTCAAACCCACAGCCACGCCACATGGCCTAGCACTGCCCAGGGGCCTCTGCTATTCCTTTGGGGTCCCCCCTCTGTCCTCCTTTCTGACTAAAGAGCGGGCAGGCTGCACCGAGGGGGCACATGCCTGTCCCAGCTCTGCCCACCTCCCTGGCCCAGTCTGTTCCTTGGTCTCCTCTTCCCTTTCATGTGTTGTGATTCCTATTAGCCAAGCGCCTACAAGCCCCAGTCACGGACCAGGACCCCACCGTGCTGGGCACTGCACCCAGAGCAAACCCAGCCCCTAGACTGACCCGCCTCCCTGCACCCAGAACGAAGTGCCTTTGCTTCTGAAGGAAATTTCAAATCCAAAATGGAAGACAATCAATGTATAGAACAAGCCCCATCCACAGGCAAGGGACGGGAGGCGGGCCCCTGCTGACAGCGGGGGCTGCACTGCCGGACCAGCCAGGGGAGTGGCCAGCCCCGCATGCTGCATCTTCATCCTGCCACCAGCCTTGCACACCCACCCCCATCGTCGGCCACTGGAAACCTCCCCCCCGCCCCACCGCTGGTGAATGAGCGTCTGGTGAATAGGGATCTGGCCAGCCAGCACTGATGGGGAGGGGACAGAAAATACGGGAAGTCAGGACAGCTGCAGGACATCTGGTCACCCTATGCATATACATAGATGGTGATACCCATCCAGGAGGCACGCTCTGTGTCGCTATTGCTCCTGCAGCACCATTCCTGTGGGCTGTGAAGCAGTGGAAAGTCCTTGGGCTGAATTTCAGAAAGAACAGGTTCCCCTCGCGTTATTCACAGTTCACTCCAAATTTTGCCCCTTGGGCTGTTTTCCCTCATTCTCTAGCGGCACAAAGCATGTCACCAAGGCCTTGTCTAAATCGCAGGGAACACAACTGTGGCCTGACCATGTTTTATAACAAAGTTTGGTTTTGCTTCTATAGACCTGACCGAACTGTTATACCCATGGCAAAGGAATTATGCTAATCGCTGCTCTGAGGGCTAGTCTGCCTGGGGAAACTGACCAGCAGAACTACAGCAGTGTAATTAGACGGCTGTGGCTTTGCCAGTAGGTCTTCCCATGGGGATACTATTCCAGAATAAAAATGATTTTTATTCCAGTTTAATTACTCCGCTTATACCGGCATAGCTACAGCCGCACAATTATACCACTGTAGTTCTGCCAGTCAATTCCCCTGTGGAGATGAGCCCTAACTAAAAGAGAAGATGGATCTTGCTGCAGAATTGCTATACGCAAGAAGACACATGGAGAAAGAGACAGTAGCTAGAACACTCCTGATAGAGTAGATCTCTTTTTTTTTATATCTTCTCACCTATTTGAAATAATAAACATTCTTGCTTTGGAAGTATCTTTGCTCACATGACAGTACTTAGTAACATGGTGTATTTTAGCAATGTACCCGCTCTATGTACCTTTTGCTTTCTGTGTACTGCATCTTTAAATCTAAAGTCTACCAAAGACAGGCAGGCATTGTGGAGTTCGGGGCCTAAATATCTTTGAGGGTGCCATTGTGTTCAGTTTGATGCAGACTGCTCCGGGCCTCAGGAGACACAGATACTGTCCTCTCGCCTGGAGACTTTACTTTTGTTCTTTCTTGTTTTCCTTTATCTCAAATAAATCAATTTCCACTGAGAATATAAGGCTGCTACTGATATGTGGGAAAATGTGACGAGAGTATATGTGTAAGGGCTTGCTGCCAGCCTGCTTGCGTCTCTGAAATTATAAATTCCCCTCACTTGCTGTTTGGACAATTCCAAGAAGTGTGAAGTACCAAGCTAGCCCAGGAGACCCTTAGTATTTTCAGATCGAGACAGGCAGGGGCAAAACCCTCATAAATATACACCAGAACACAGGAAATAAGGCATCATTCTCAATCTGTTCCCGTCCACTTCTATTAGAGGGCTTTGATTCTTGTCATTCTGCCAGAGAAAAAAATCATTAAACTCATTCAGAAAGTACGTGTAAGTGAACTAACTTTGGATTAATACATTGTCATTTTCTATTAGGTTCATAATTATATCCTGGCAGCGCTGCCGAAGTAAGAGAATATTCTAACGTAGGAGAGAAGGGTGATCGTACGTATGCCGGACTTCTGCTTGATGTATATTTGGTCAATGAGCATTACACAGGATGGACCTGTATATCTGGGTGGCCCAGCAGGCCCCGTTCTGCTGAAGATAATTCTGGCCTTATGCAGGGTATATCTTCACTGCGGTAAAATACCCACGGCACCGAATCTCAGAGCCGGGTCAGCTGACGGGGGTTGCAGAGCTCAGGCTGGGGGCTAAGAGTAGCAGTGTAGATGTTTGGGTTGGCTGGTGCCTGGGCTCTGAGACCTTCCCCCCTCTGGACTTGAATGTCTACACTGCAGTTTTATAGCCCAGCAGCCCTGTGAGCCCGAGTCAGCTGCCCCACTCTTTTTCATCTCTCCTCAGACAGAAGCGGTTCTGTACCCCTCGTCAATTGTGTTGCCCTTCACTGTACTTTTCCCAGTTCTACTATCTCTCTTTTGAGATGGGGCGACCAGATTTGCACGCAGTATTCAGGATGAGGGCGTGCCGTGGATTTATATAGCGACGTTATGCTATTTTCTGTTGTATTATCCATCCCTTTCCTAATGGTTCTGAACATCCTGTTCGCTTTTTTGACTGCCGCTGCGCATTGAGTGGATGTTTGCAGAGAACTATCCACAATGACTCCAAGATCTCTTTCTTGAGTGGGAACAACTAATTTAGACCCCATCAGTTTGTATGTATGGTTGGGATTATACTTTCCAGTTTGCATTGCCTGGCATTTATCAACATTGAATTTCATCTGCCAGTTTTGTTGCTCCATCACCAGGTTTTGTGGGGTCCCTTTGTAGCTCTTCGCAGTCTGATTTGGACGTAACTATCTTGAGCAATTCTGTATCATCTGCAAACTTTGCCACCTCACTGTTTACCCCTTTCCCCAGATCATTGATGAATATGTTGAACAACACTGGTCCCAGTACAGATCCTTGGGGGACCACACTGTGGAAACTGACCATTTAGCCCTACCTTTTGTTTCCTCTCTTTTCTGCCTACTTCGCTTAAGAGTCTTTTACAAGGGCCCTTGTCAAAGGCTTTCTGGAAGTTCAAGTACGCTGCATCCACTGGATCACCTGTCTGCCTTCACGTGATGTAATGGACTGGGACTCTTTCATTTGGCTGTTTCTCTTCAATTCCTACTAGTACTTTATCAGCTTCAAGCCTCTCCGCTTTACTAGGCTATAGAGTATCCCCTTTAATAAAGCCTCTCTGAAGGGAGGGTCCCTGAGCACTTATTGGATGCGCGAACAATCCACTTTCACCCACTTCCTAATCGAGAGGCACTGGGCTGCTTCCTGAATCCTCTGAGCACACTGCTAGAATTCAATAAACGCAACAACAACCAGCAGGGCCATCTCTGCTGGGCCCTGACATCGATCCAGCCCTGTCTCTGGGTGCTCCTGCCTAACCTGACAAAGATATCATCCCACCGGCATCTCTGCGGCGCAATCAAATGCCCCAGCTTCTCTTCACTCGATCCGTCTGCTGCTTCCACTTCTGGGCAGACATCACCCCTCACCCCAGTGAGCCAGTGTCCACTCATGGGGAAATGAACCACGCAGGAGATGTTTCCTTCAGGGTGGAGTTCCGCATCCTGCCAGCTGCGGACGAGATGCCGTGGGCACGGCGCGTTGGCAGTGGCAGGGCATCAACAGGCCTGTTTCATTGCAGAAGAGAAGTCCGGAACCATTACGCGGCCGAGGCTGGAGCCCAGTCGAGCTTCTTTCGAGTGTGGCCGAAGAAGACGTACTTACCAGAGACAGCCCGAGCCGGGACGCGCGACAGTTTTGTATGAGGCTGGAGAGCATTTCATTTTCCAGGGGGTGATTTTGCTAACAGAAATATCCCCTGGCTGTTCTTTAACATGCTCTCAGCGCTTGGCTGCGCTGCTTTTCAACGGGAGCTTGGTCACTGACTTCCGCACCAGCAGGCCAATCCCGCTCTTCACTTTGATTAATAATTGAAGTCTCCTTTAAGGCCAGTTAACAACCCAGGACCCCTAGAATAAATATGGCCCAGGCAACAGCCGGGCACGTTCTCACCTTATACTATCCTGTCCTTCCTGTCCAGAGGCGAGAGGGGAGGGCAGTTTCCCTTCCAAAGAAAGAAAGCAGCTGGGATGCTGGTTTCTAGGATGTGGACACGTTACCAGGACGTGTTTTGGGTCTGTCTAGTCACGTCAGATTTGAGAGACTTGATGGCCCAAGGGTCTGTCGTGGGCCTGCAGGCAGCCAGCACATCCCCCCCGGGGGGTTTGTGATGGAGAGATGTTACCAGCTGAGGGCAGCCTGAAAAGAGTGGGTAGGGTGCTCGGTGGGGACTTGGAAGAGGGGGGTGCGATCCTTTGTCCACCACAAATTTCCTGTGTGACTTTTCCTGTGTGCCACTTAGCCACTCTGTGCCTACGAACACCTCACAGGGGTGTTCGGTGGATAAATACCGTAAGGATTGTGACGGGTGCAACTACTGTGGTAATGGGAGCCAGAGAAGAACCTTAGCCAGACTGTCTGCCTTCTCGGCTGGGATCCGTTCTGTGGATCCTGCATGCCAAGTTCTACTCCAGTTATATACCTGACCTTGCATGCTCCCTTCCTGCGTCTGTCCATCACCTTGCACGCTGATGGATACATAGTTAAAGTATCACAACAATCTGTAGCTCTCCGAGTGCTTTACAAAGGAGATCACTCTCTTTATTCCCATTTTACAGAGGGGGAAACTGAGGCACAGAGAGGGCAAGTGACTTGCCCAAGGCCACCCAGCAGCAGAGCTAGGAATATAATCGAGGTCTCCTGAGCCCCAGTCCTGTGCTTTGTCCACAACCGATTATTCCCTGGTGAGCCACCTGCAGAGGGTCTCCTTCCCATTCAGATACCCCCTGGCCCATACACAACGGTGGGAAGACAGCCACCTCTGTGTCACTCAAACCCCGAGAGGGCTCTGGAACCCGTGCCGGGGGAAGAAGTGGTGCAGAGGGAGGCACCTTGTCTTCCCCCGGACACATCAAACTCTGCAGGGAGTCTGCCCGAAAGGTCGTGGATTCTACGGCAGCGTGACTCCAATGGAACTGTGCTGCCCACAGCGAAAGGCTGGATGGGCATAGATCTCAGGGGAGAGCTATGGAGATCTGGAGAGGGAGAGACAACCCTCGCTCCCAGGAGAGTCCGCCAGGGGACTCCGATGGAATTGTGGTGGGGCAAACGCCTATCAGGGCGGCAGGACAGCAATACTGATCGACATCGTCAGCAATGAAGAGACTTTTGCCGCTTCCATACCGATGGGCTTCGGCCATCCTTGTTGTCTGTCTCCCCACTGTGGTGTCCCATGACTGCGATTGTTTTGCAGTTTCCTCGCCTGCCATGGCTGCAGCATGGCACCTGGAAATCGAACGCGGCTTCTTCCTTGCACTCCGTAAAGTCAATGGAGAACCCCCATTAACTTAACTGAAAGCAGGACTGGGCTGGAATACTTTTATTCGGAGAATAACAATTCTTCAGGCGTCTCTAATACATTTATTGGAAGAGCTTAAAGCACTTTACAAATGTTGCATAAGCCTCACGACTCTTCTGTGGGGACCAGCCACATTAATACAGCGTTACAAGTTGGTAAACTGAGGCACGTGTTGGTGACTGTGCTCTGCTGAAATGCTGGAGGCATGAGTCTAAACAGCTGCTAAGCGAGTGCACAAACCAATGAGCAGGAACAAGCAGAAGGAACTCCAGGGGCACCATTTATTCCCCATATCATTCAGTTTCACAGGGCATCTCTCTGCCTCATTGACTCTCCATCTCTTTTCTGATCTCAGCTGCAAGATTCTCTTCCCTCACTTGCCTCATTTAACTCTACACAGTTTGGAGGATGCATCTGCCATGAATAAGGCTCTAGCTGCATTACGCTGCAATCTACAATTACGTGCACCAAAGTGGGTGGCTCTCTCCAGTTCCGAAAATGCCACGGGGGCGGTTTCCATGGCATGCACACAAGTTTGAGCGAATGATGGGTTGGCTAATTACGGTTCATACGCAGTGCCAATCAATCAAAAAAAGCTGACGCTCTTCTTCTGTCTGCCTCCCAGCTGGGAATCCCCTTTACAACACGGAGTCCTGTTCGGCTGCAAACCTGCAGGCCCTGCGGAGAACCAAAGTCTCACGAGAATGAGCTCTGCTCCTTTAAATACTAATCAGCCAAACATGAGCTCCCAGGGGGACTCTGATTCCAAAAGAGCTAATGCAATCCTGGGATGCATAAACAGGGGAATCGCAAGCAGAAGCAGAGAAGTTATTTGACCTCTGTATTTGCCCCTGGTGTGATCGTTGTGGGAATCCTGGGTCCAGAGCTGGTGCCCACAATTCAAGAAGGATGTTGATACATTGGAGAGGGGTCAGAGAAGAGCCGTGAGAATGATTAAAGGATTAGAAACCTGCCTTATGGTGGTAGACTCAAGGAGCTCAATCTATTTAGCTTAACCAAATGAAGGTTAAAGGGTGAGTTGATCGCAGTCTATAAGTGTCTACAGGGGAACAAATAATTAATAATTGGCTCTTCCACCTAGCAGAGAAAAAAAGGTCTACCAGGATTCAATGGCTGGAAGTTGCAGCTAGACAAATTCAGACTGGAAATAAGGTGTACATTTCTAACGGGGAGGGTAATTAACCATTGGAACAATTTATCAAGGGCTGTGGTGGATTATCCATCACTAACGATGTTTAAATCAAGACGGGCTGTTTTTCTAAAAGCTCTGCTCTAGGAATTGCTGTGGGGCAGGTCGCTGGCCTGTGCTATACAGGAGGTCAGACTAGATGATCACAACGGTGCCTTCTGGCCTTGGGATCCATGAATCTATGATATAATAGCTGCAGTATTTGGGCTTGCTCCTGCAGGCCAGCACCAGCCCTCCCATTGACTTGAACAGGAGCACAATGGGAGCCCATGACACCAAATTAAGAAAGGACCCTGTGACACCCTGGCACCCCACTATTCACCACTGTCATGGAATTAGGATACGTTTTGTACAAAGTCTGCCTTGTGAGGTGTCATTCTAAAAATCTTGATCTGCTAGACATTAATATCTCGTGTGCTCTCGTCGTATGGGAAGTTATGAAGTTTGGCTATCTAGGTGTTACTGAAACATGCCGTGAGGTTGAAAACACCCACAAGCAGCCTTTCAGGTACAACAGTAAAAAGGCCAAACAATGTTAATGTCTCATTGAGGAAATGCACACGAGCACAAGGGTTACCCAGGAACTGTGTACAATAGAAACCTCGCAGAGCTAGCCCTACACAATGGGAACTGTTTGACCCAGGTCACAGCAAAAGAGCTTTCCAGCAAGTGGGAAGAAGATATAAAAGGGGGAAAATGACATCTAGGGGGTACCTCACTCTCCCTGCAACAACACACCTGGAAACACCTGAGGAATAAAGCCTGAACGGGGGGAAAAGATGATCATAGATCATAGAATAGATAGTCCCAGGCTAAGGGATTTCTAGCCTCCGTATGAAACCCTGGGAAACCCACGCTGAAAAGCCAAGGGAGCTTGTGCCTTAAGAATCTGCCAGCCTGTTTATCACTCAGGATGAGAAGTATGTTAAGCTCAGTTTGTGGTTTTGTTTATTTACGAGGTGATCTGCTTTGATCTGTTTGCTAGCACTTAGAATCTATTCTTTTGTAGTTAATAAACTTAATTTATGTTTTAATCTAAACCAGGGACCTTTGACTGGAGTGCTTGGGGGAAATCTCTGCTTGGTTACCACAAGTGTGCATTGTCCTCCTCACATTGAGGGAGAGGCGGACCAGGTATTAAACCCATAGACTGGCCAGATTTGACCAGGGCAGGTACTGCTCTGAGGTCCTAGACTGGGAGGCTGGTGGTTAGAGAGCCTGTGTGTAAGTGCAGCTGGGTGTGTCCCTACCTGTGCGAATGCTGGTGAACGTGCAGGCTGGAGGGCTTTGCAGCTTGTCACAGCAGCACAGTGCGAGAGGAAGCCCAGGCTGGTGGGCTCCCTCTCGCCACTGCAGTTCCAGGTGGCACCCCCGGGGGAACCCGTCACAGACCCCAACCGTCCATTTTAGGGCTTCCAAAAATGCTTGAGAGGGCAACCTCCGAAGGCTCAGGATTTGGGTTTGTGTTGGATCAGTGCCCCAGAGTTGGGATGTTTCTCTGAACTATCCCAGCTGCTCAAATCTGCGACAATGGGCTGCAGATCTCCCCAAATCAGGCTCCTTTCAAAGATCCCCAGCTCCCCTCTTTCTGGCGCCAGCCGGGAATACCAAGGCAGGTGCCTCTTTTTGTGGGATTCCATCACGTCCCATCCCAGCTAGAACCCCGAGCTCACGGAGACGGGAGACAATTCAATAGCAACCCGAAAGGTTCGTTTAGAGTGCCGTTCGAAAGATGGCTGCGATTGTAACCAACCCGATTCACCCACAGAAGGGACAGGCCAGCTGGGTGGCCAGCCTGCCCGTGTGCTCTGGCAACTCCTGGTTCTGGGAATGGCTCCTTGAGGGGGTCACTGCGGGAACAACACAAAGCAGGCCTGGGGCTACTCAAGTGGTGCCAGGTCCGAAACTGCCTCAGGCCCGAAACTGCCTCAGGCCAACCCCAGGACTGGGGTGGAATAAAAGCTCCCCCTCCTCTGCACCGCGCTCTCCACCTCCGGCTCTGTGGCCTGCCTGCCGTTTAGCAGCATCAGGGTAGCGTGGGAATTGTGCGGCTTTCTCCTGGTGTATAAAATATTTTCTTCAAGCTGTT